AAACGAAAATTGACATTGTACCGTTTCGGTCAAATACCAAAACCGGTACGTACCGGCCGGTACGGTACGATATTAACATCATTGCATAATATACTTACTTAGTATATTAAAGTGCATATACTATAGTTCAACTTAAATTGAATTAGAAAATATCAACTATTGAGTTGAAAGGTTTATGTTTATTATCAAAAAACACTAATAATTTAATAATTACTTAATATTTATAATATAACATAGTTCAAACCATAAAATAGTTTATACAAAATTACAAAATAATTTTTCGGTAAAGTTTTACAAGCTCAATTTAAAGTATCTATGACCTACAAATGGGTAGATGAGTTGATAGAAAACTCTTTCAATTTAACCAGAGATCTTGATTTCAAATCTTGATTTCAAATCCTGATAATGCAATTCTATTAAAACTCGTGAGAGAGAATTTTACCACATGTTGAATCCTGCTCGGCTTGAATCCAGATTAGCCGATAACCTAATTAGCTTTCAAATATCGGGTGGTTCATACAAAAAAAAAAAAAAAAATCTAAAGTATCTATGGGTGCACGGTTTGTTGTGGTTCATTTGGCGTGATTGATTTTATAATATACAACTGTGGCCCGGGTTGCAATGAGCAATGCGGTCAGAGTTGCACGTGAAGTTCTCGTGATTCACAGCGCCCGTTGCCTCCGGTGGACGTTTCAAAACACATTCTTTATTACTTACTCCATCCCCCATGGCTTTTTCTCTGCTGCTTCTTTCTTAAGCAACCAAAATCCTTCTCTCTTCTCAATCATTCTTAAATTTCTTATGGCCAGCAGTCATGCTGAGGACTTGAGTGTAACGAATTGAATCGATGCAAAATAACGTGGGATCGTACAAGGATTAGTGATTAATTAGTGGATACAGTTGTCTGTTTTGGCGTAACTGACATTTTGGCCGGCTTGATTTTGATTTAAGAGCATGTATGAGTTAATCACAGTGGTAATGATGTACGGAATGGGAATTTTATTTCTCATTTTTTAGCACGTCAAGATGCCAAGCATGCATGCAGTTGACTCCATACCCAGCAGAGTGATTGCAGGTCATTGTACAATAATAGGTTCTGTTAATATATATAGAATAATGCAAATAAAGGGTTTTGAAATATGGAAATTATTCTTCACCCACACTATAGATCTCCTTTCTTCACTCCAAGCATGATTCTTTTGTTTTTATAAAGTTCCTGGAAAATTGTAAAATTTCAAAGTTTTGTTTTTGTTTTTTTCCATTTTCGATTATTTGTGAGTAAATGTGTGTTTTAAATTATGCACAATGATAGTCATAGAGCACATCCCCCTAAGATGCCAGTCAAGAAAAGTAAAAATAAAGGCACATTGTTCAATTTGATGTCTTCTGAAAATGCTAAAAGGACTTTTGTGTGCTTCATGGCGGTTTCAGTTCTGTACCATACAAGTTTATTACTCATAAAGTAACTCCCACACGTGCATCCCTGAGATTCCAACTATGTTTCTGTGGATTCCAGCAAAATTCCTTAATCTTTAATAAAATTATTAATCTACTGCAACAGCATGGAGACTTCCCATAGATACAAAACATTTGAACTAAAACAAGAAGAAATTAAAGAAGTTATGTATATACTACCTTACTCTTCTCGGGGGATCCACCTGCTCCACCATAAGCTTTTCCTACGTCTGTTGAGCTCGTCCATGCTCTCGTTCAATGTTCTAACAATTCTTCTTTGAAGCTTAAGAGCTGAAGCAAGGGCATTTCTTTGTGGACTTGCCTTCTTCTTAGGGCCCATTTCCTGCAAAATAAGGAGAATATAAAGTTAAACATTACATGATTCATTTATTTTTGTGAGAATATATGGATTTTATTGACAGTTTGATACAGACGCTAAGCTCCTGAAGCTGAGCTTCTGTGAAGCCACCATCTTTCTCTGTTCCGGATTTTGCCATTAACTGAATTACCCACTTGGCAGCTTCACTATAGTCCTGCTGAGTGGCACGAATAAGTTGTAGTCGTAGTTTTTGCATGAAAGACAAAGCTAATAGTCCTTCCCTATCAAAGTATGGATGAGCCAACGCTGCTTTTGCACTGATTCTTTGCCGTGCTTTGTATCTAACCATTGATGTCAGAAGTTCCCATCCTACCCCATCATCTAAATCTAACAACTCAAAGCCCCTCCTGAGGTCAGGACTGGCACGAGGCTCTGTGCTTTTCCTCCATGCAGCTAGGTCGTAATCACACCTCTTCAACTGTCGGTTGAATTGAATCAAGCTGCTGTCTGTCCGCAAGGATGGAAATGCCTGTAGGAAGGAAAGTTCAATTGAGCTAACTCTGGAAATCCAGAATAATTATTGTAATGATGGAGATCACATTTTGTTGGATATGGCCTAAATTATGTAAATTTCTGCTATTTAAAAAGCTAATGTCAGAAAAATATAACAGGTGATGTCTAAACAAAATTCTAGACAGGGCAACCAAACTTCACTTCTGATGATATCATTTTAATGCTTTCAAGATTTTCTCTTCATGGTTCTTCATAATTCAACAAAATTTTGAACTCATTTTCAATTTTAATCATATTTGCAGCAGATAATTAATAAAAGAAAATCAACTAAAAATTTTAAATTTATGCTTTCTGATTTTCGAGATTGTAGAATAATGCATATCTTTCTTGTCAATTTTATAATATATAAAAAGCTTCTTTCAGCATTATCTGTTACTCACCATTTGTAGGAATATGAGACCTGCACTGTAGATATCAAATCTATCTGGCAGATTCAACTGTTTGCAGACAGTGTCATCCAAGGCAACAACAAAATATCCAAGTCAGAGAAAGAAAAACAGATGGATGGATATAGCAGGTCAGGGAACTATTCTGTGTGTATTGCACCTGCCAAAGAACAGGGGAAAGTGCAGTTGCCACTGGAGCTGAAGGTGCAGATGGAGTTTGTGTACTCATTATGTATTGCTCTGGTGCAGCATACCTGAGAAAACAGAACGATTCAGGGGCATACAAATTAACAATGATGCTGTGTTCTGAACTCAAATCTTAGCTATCAGTCTTGCTTTGTGTAAAGGTTAGTCATTTGAGATATTAAATTGTAAAGTTCTCATACCTTTCCAAACTGTCAAATTATACTTTCAATACTTTAAAAATGGCCTACTGTACGTTAGCTTCACTTCTTCTCGATATCTGATAGTACCAGTTCATCTCTAGTTTCGACTCAACAGATGTTTAAGGAAACAAGTTTCCATAAACAACTTCATAAGTGAACCTACTTTATCCACAATCCGAACATTTCTATGCAGAAGCATAAACTTCTGTTTTATCCTTGCCATAGTTAAATGAAGCAGCTAACACACCGTCATAATACATAGATGATCTGTATCCTAGACTAACAGAAACTAAAGGACAAGGTTAATGATAACTGCTTAATAATGAAGAACATACAATGGTGACCAACTATGGGCTGTAGTTTATCTGTGCAGCTCATAGGCTAAGCTGTTTCAGGTAAATATGCAGCGGATAATGATTACTATTAGTTGGAAAATAAACAGCTGTCTGATTTGCTAATTGCTCCACTCCTCCCCTTAATTTTTAGTATTACTTGTCACTTGAATAGATAAAACGCTATACCTTGGATCCAGAAGGAATTCCTTTGGAATATAGTTAATGCCAACTCTCAAGTCTGCAGCAGCTCCAAGATCAATTATCTTAAATATTCGAGACCCTGATCATGTTTTTAAACAGGTAAAAATTAATCCAGGAACACGGAAAAATATTGATCTTTCATTTAATATGCATCATGCAGTGCTTGTAACCATTAACCTTCAGAGAAAATAACATTCTGTGGCTTAATATCCCTGTGCACAATCCCTGTTGAATGAAGACCATCCAAGGCAAATAAAAGCTGTCGCATGATAGTCTGAATGATTCTATTTTCCCTTTCCAAACCTTTAGGCAAGTCCTGTACCTTCCCCAAGATCATCGTTTCTACCTGACATTATAACCACAAATCAGGTCAGAAGCTGGAGAGACAACTTATCAAAGACACCATTCATCATTCAGTAACAACAAAATCGTTACACAGATTCACAAAGCATTTGAAATGTAATTTAGATGGTCAGAGCCTTGACTTGTGACATTACATTCACAAAATGAAATTGATTAACATGGTAAGTCTGACAAATAAACTTCCACTGTTTTGGTTCCAAGGAGATGATACAATAAGATTTTGCAAACTATTGAAGGCCAATAAGACTAACTACCCACATTATAGGGGAAGTCTTTGCTCTGCATCAGATCTGCTAGTGTGGCCTTTCCCTCAAAACGCCATAGAAGCCAGTATTCACTTCCTTTTGTAGAAGAAGTCTGAAAGATGATGACAATTGTGATCATGCATTGTCTAAGAAAAACTTAAAAGAAGTGTGAACTGCTGTCCCAATTAAACTAAAATTTGTATATTCTTGTTGTATTGATACCCTTAATTCATATGGTAGTAGTAGTCATAAAGAGCAACACCTCAAGAAAGCCATACAGAAAATCAGCACAGCTGTTTGCACAAGCTCTCCGCACCCGCTCATTCATCCAAATTTCCACTGCACCATATTCAGACGCCCTTTTCAAGACTAAGTCTCCCCCATCCTAATGACAAACAAAAACCATCAGGTACTTAACTGCTTTATACACATTCACATAAATAAATCATATTACTGGTACGAGTGCATCCTGTCACCAACCACTTACTCATTATTAGTGATATAACAAATAAATTCCTTCTCAGTGTAAAATCAAAGGATCAATTTCAGTTTTGACATAACTAGCTGAACTTCTTGTTGTAAATGAAAGTTCAACTAGATAGAACAGTCGTTCCAATTTAAAATTAAATAAACAAAATCATCTGCTTTCAATAGCAATTCCATTAAAGTAAGGAATCCATGTTCAAATTGTATCCAAAATTGAAACAATTGAGAATATGGTGGCAAGTTTTTAAGGAAACCAGAAGTTAAACTAAAAAAAAAAAGGTAGCACTGATATTAAAGTACAACATAATTCAATTCACTTTAATAAAAGACACCCTACCTTTGAAGAAGGCTTCTTAGCCAAAGAAGCTCTATAAACCGAACCAAATGACCCCTCGCCCAATTTCTTTCCCAAAACCAAATCATCCTGCCAACCAAAACCCAAACCCCCTTAGCAACAAAAACATAAAACCTTAAAAACCCCAAAATCAGTCATAAATTCGCTAACCTTCTTATAGGTAGGTCTAAACAGCCTCTCAACAAAAGCAAGCACAAACATGTCAAAGAACCCGGGTGCCACCCCAGGCGTGGCCCAGAGGTAAGACAGCGCACCTAGAGCTAAAATCGCTCCTGGAATTGTAACTGTCAACCCACTAGCCTTGGGCAAAGTGCTTCTGTATATGACATCGCCACACTCCATGACCGTGCATGGTAAACCTACTCCAACTCCCACAAAAAGATCGCGAGCCGCATCGATCAGTTCAGCTTTCAAGGAGAAAACAGTGAGTGGTTTGCAATTTGTAGGGGAAGTTTTTGAATAGGGATGAAGTTTCAATCTTTTGCCAAGAAATGGAGATGGGTGTTTTAGTTTGTAGGTGTTTGGGAGATTGATAAGGCCAATGTTAGCTCCTCCAGATGCAACAGTGGCCATGCCTGTACAGAGGTGGGTCGGTAGTTTTGCAGTGGAGGGAAGGGAATATACAGGGCACGGGACACTGTAACTTACAAGAATCAACTTCAAATTCATTCCACCACATACCGTGTTCCGGTGTCTGATTTTTCTTTCTTTGTTTAAAATAAAAAATATTTAATTTTATATTTGGTATTTTAGTGACAGTTATTTCTGGTTTTTTTTGTGGATAGAAAGGGCTCGAGTGGATTGAAATTGAACCATCGTGTCCTGTGCACCACAATGACACGTTGACACAAATCTAGTGAGCTGGGCTTGGGCCTTGGGAGGTTCTGGGCTTATCAAGGCCCATCAGTTTTTAATAAAAGGCCTTTTTCCTTATTTTATAGGTGCAAAAAAAAAAAAAAAAGATTGTTGTTACTTGTTAGCTATTCTCTTTTTTCACATACCTTTCATTTCATCTGTTATTTAGATGTGAAACCTTCCACTTTAAAGTTTTATTCTTAACAGCTGTTTGAATTATTTTAGTAAATTATAATCAAAGTTATTATTTATTTATCATGAGAATTTAATTTAAATTCACTCAGACATATAAAATAATCTAAATCTCTATAATATATTCTTCAAAGTTTGTATGTCCAAAAATAGTCTAGTTACTTACTAATTGTCGTAGACCACACGACATGAAAGGTGAGACTAGCTTTTTAATTAATGTGAAACGCAAACAATACATTAAAGTGAAAGAGGAAAGTGGAAACCTTGCTTATATCAAAGTTAATTATACTTTCCACTTTCAGTTTCCCGCATTATAGAGTAACAAAATCTGCCTCACATGGCAAAGAAACAAAATCCAGCACGTGTTTAATTATATTTACCATGTGAGTAATTCATGCGATCTAGTTCCACCAACTGCGTATTTGCTTGTTTCACCTCTCGCTGGAACTTTGAATTGTCCGCCAAGGTTTAGTGATATATCCAGGTTGTTAATTACTTGCTGTTCTTCAGCTATCGGAGAATAAGGATGGGTGACGGAACAGATCGTAGGGAGCCCACAGAGAATCCAGTGGACATGGTTTTTTGGAGTCGATTCGAAGCCACGGCTTGCCCTTGCCGCTCCAGTGAAGCAAACTCGCAGGACCAGGGTGCAGATCTCTGCACAGCCCTTCCAGATTATCCCCACCCAACCCGTGCTGGTTCCACCTGTGCTCGATCGGCGCCACGTGTCCGGCAAAAACTAGCAGGAACGGCGGCAGCGACCCGAGCTCGTAGATCCGATCGCTCTTCTGGATCTCCATCCACCTCTCGATCCGTTTTGTGTACCCGGACCGCCTCCATTTTACTAGATCAATCACCATCACTCCGGTGTTAAAATAGCACGGCTTCCTCCCTCTGAAAGTGCCGGAAAGTCGGAAGTTGGACCAGAATCTCGCCGTGAAATATTTGGTGAAGTTGGCATGGCAGTATTCCGGGGCTCCGATTGTTCTAGAACCCAAACTTGTATTCCAGAGCTTAGTGATATCGTCAACCACGACGAGATCAGAGTCCAAGTAAATTACTCTGCGCACACACGGTTCCAGAAGATCAGCTAAATAATTCCGGGCATAATTTAACGGCTGTTCAAGCGCTTGCCTAACTGAACTGGAGATCAGATTCCGCACCTTCGCCGGATCGAAATAGTACACCTTGAACTTCAATTCAGGGAAGGTGGACCGGACTAGGGTTGCCAGATTGTTCTCCGAGACGAGGAAGTGGAAGAAAATACTCTCCGGACACCTGGAGTGTTGGAGAATCGAGTGAACGGCGGCGATTGAGCCTCGGAGGTACTCAATATCGAGAGTGATGGCAACGTGAACCAAAGAGGGATTGCACACCCCGGTGATATTCGGGTCGGAAAAGCCACATTCATCCGCATTGCGGAATACATCCGCTTTTCGAAACGAAAATGGGTCGGGAATGGAAAACTGCGACGTCGGTAACCGGAGGTACCAGTCTAAATGGGAGGAACGAATGGCTTCTGCGGGAGGGAAGGATTGCAGGGAAGGCGAGAGGACGATCATCAGCATAGCCGCAGAGAAAAACCAAGAAAACCGCAGAATCCAA